GTCTGGAACACAGCTGGAGTTTTGTTAGTGATATTGGCACTTTCTACGAGTGCAGTAATGGATTCGGGTTTTTCACGATGCTGTACTCCCCACCCAGTCAGAAAGATGCAAATGGTAATGAATACAACTAACAATGATATTACGACTCTTCTCCCTAGGGGGCCCCATAATTGCTTTGACTTTTTCAATGGCATTTCATCAATTTTATCCATTTATCAGTTACAGAGTTCTAAAATGATGAGTTCAAAAATAACATATACAGAAAAAAACAAAATCTTGGACTCTTTTTAGATGCACAACAAAAATAGGTTTCAGATGAAAAACAAGAATAGATATTCAGTTTTTAGTGATCAATCTATAAAACCTAAAGACAATTCGTCTTTTGAGCTGTTTCTATCTCACTGTTTCTTGATCTGATTTTTATTTATCGTTTTGTTCCGGCTCTGCCAAATCAGTCCTAACTTCCGAGAGCATTCTGGAAGGTGCCGGTGCAGGGTGACAATGTGTCAGGTCGTGCCAATTTGCTCCTTTTTTACCTTTTACCCGGAGAGCATGTGAAGTTATTTCAACAACTTCCCACGGTCCCGTCCACCTGGGTTCAGCCCACTTTCTTTTGTGAACTTTCAACCTCACCCAATCACCTGGCCGTACAGGAGTCTCTTCTGGTGTCTCGTCTGGTATCTCTGCAGTTCTCTGAACCTGTGTAGACAAGACTTGGATAATATTACTCAGAGCCCTGACATATTCATCCAAGCTCTCCTCGTGTCTCTCTGAGTCCTGACTCCATCAGAGCTCCAGCTCTCCTCGTGTCTCTCTGAGTCCTGACTCCATCAAAGCTCCAGCTCTCCTCGTGTCTCTCTGAGTCCTGACTCCATCAGAGCTCCAGCTCTCCTTGTGTCTCTCTGAGTCCTGACTCCATCAGAGCTCCAGCTCTCCTCGTGTCTCTCTGAGTCCTGACTCCATCAAAGCTCCAGCTCTCCTCGTGTCTCTCTGAGTCCTGACTCCATCAAAGCTCCAGCTCTCCTCGTGTCTCTCTGAGTCCTGACTCCATCAGAGCTCCAGCTCTCCTCGTGTCTCTCTGAGTCCTGACTCCATCAGAGCTCCAGCTCTCCTTGTGTCTCTCTGAGTCCTGACTCCATCAGAGCTCCAGCTCTCCTTGTGTCTCTGAGTCCTGACTCCATCAAAGCTCCAGCTCTCCTCGTGTCTCTTTGAGGAGTCCTGACTCCATCAGAGCTCCAGCTCTCCTCATGTCTCTCTGAGTCCTGACTCCATCAGAGCTCCAGCTCTCCTCGTGTCTCTTTGAGGAGTCCTGACTCCATCAGAGCTCCAGCTCTCCTCATGTCTCTCTGAGTCCTGACTCCATCAGAGCTCCAGCTCTCCTCGTGTCTCTCTGAGTCCTGACTCAATCAAAGCTCCAGCTCTCCTCGTGTCTCTCTGAGTCCTGACTCCATCAAAGCTCCAGCTCTCCTCGTGTCTCTCTTAGTCCTTACTCAATCAAAGCTCCATCTCTCCTCGTGTCTCTCTGAGTCCTGACTCCGTCAAAGCTCCAGCTCTCCTCGTGTCTCTCTGAGTCCTGACTCCATCAAAGCTCCAGCTCTCCTTGTGTCTCTGAGTCCTGACTCCATCAGAGCTCCAGCTCTCCTCGTGTCTCTGAGTCCTGACTCCATCAGAGCTCCAGCTCTCCTCGTGTCTCTGAGTCCTGACTCCATCAAAGCTCCAGCTCTCCTCGTGTCTCTCTGAGTCCTGACTCCATCAGAGCTCCAGCTCTCCTCGTGTCTCTCTGAGTCCTGACTCCATCAAAGCTCCAGCTCTCCTTGTGTCTCTGAGTCCTGACTCCATCAGAGCTCCAGCTCTCCTCGTGTCTCTGAGTCCTGACTCCATCAAAGCTCCAGCTCTCCTCGTGTCTCTCTGAGTCCTGACTCCATCAAAGCTCCAGCTCTCCTCGTGTCTCTCTGAGTCCTGACTCCATCAGAGCTCCATCTCTCCTCGTGTCTCTCTGAGTCCTGACTCCATCAGAGCTCCAGCTCTCCTCGTGTCTCTCTGAGTCCTGACTCCATCAAAGCTCCAGCTCTCCTCGTGTCTCTGAGTCCTGACTCCATCAGAGCTCCGGCTCTCCTTGTGTCTCTCTGAGTCCTGACTCCATCAAAGCTCCAGCTCTCCTTGTGTCTCTCTGAGTCCTGTCTCCATCAAAGCTCCAGCTCTCCTCGTGTCTCTCTGAGTCCTGACTCCAGGGGCGTACTGGGACACAAATTCAGCCCGGGACATTCAGACGCACCGGCCCACACCGGGCCGCCGCCCACACATGCGGGCCACCCTTGTAGCCTACAGATAAATGATACATCTACTATGCTCATATACTGTATACTGTTAAGGCTAGATTCCCCAGAGTCAAGCCATAACATAAAAGAGATGGACAACAGGAGTAAGGTGCAAAATGAAACCTTCCTTTAGTTAAGGTTTCTTAAAAATGTCCGTGTGAAGTGTGTCAAAGTGGATATGTAGGAGTCAGTACAATAGTATAGCAAATGGGTATAGTCAAAAATGGTTGCCTGTGCCTGGCTGTAAACAAAAAGAAGTGCCAATGCACATGCAGCTCAGACATTCAATCAATGCCATGTGGTCTAACCAACAAATGATTCTAATAGTCATTATGAGAGCACTTGTCCAGTATTAAATAACCAACTTCAAGGAATACAATATCATGCACAGTAATGTCAATCACTAAAATGAATGAAATAGTGAATTGGCCACACATCTGTGTCCTTATTATTCAATATTAATATTATTTAATATTAATATTATTTCATATAATTATTAAAAATTGTAATATTAATATGATATAATTTGAGCATATAATGAGGCTATATTGATTGATTGATTGATTGATTGATTGATTGATTGATTGAAAAGTTTATTAGCAGCTTGTATATTGGGTACAGTACAGTACAGCTCAAAACATACAATTGTTAAGGGGATGCAGACCAGAGAAAGACTTTCGTCTTGTTTACATCAGGGTCCCCCATTTCCAATTCATCATGTCATATAAGACATATAAGACATATTTGACATACAGATTGCTTATTTACAATTTACATACAGGTGGTTTTTTACATACAGATTGCTTATTTACAATTTTCATTTTAGATTTCGTTCTAATACATCCTAACCGGACATTTAAGACATACCAAGTCTACAGATATACAGTTAGTAACAGAGTCTAAAATGCGAGTATATACATAGATGGGGGGGGAAGCTGTCCATTGTACTACAGGTTGAGATTTGTACCATTACCGGGGCCAGTTTTGCAATGCTCTCCCCCGAAGGTGATCTTTAAGAGAGATTTTGAAGGTAAGTATAGTTTTACTTTCCTTTACAGTTGTGGGAAGAGCGTTCCACCTTGATGTGGCATCATTGCGAAACGTGTATTCCCCCTTTTTTGTGCCAAATCTGGGTTTCACATGATTTGTGGAGCTCCCTCTGGTGTTATGATCATGGTATTCCTTGACCTTTGGGAAGAATTTTGACATGTACATGGGTACCATAGAGGTGTAGTGGATCTTGTAGACCAGGCCCATTGCAAGTAGCTGTACTCTGTCGTCTACTCTAAGCCATCCTAGGTTGTCAAAGTGGGCAGGGGTGAGGTGGGTTCTAGATGAAAGGTCAAGCAGTAGTCTGACCAGATTATTTTGCGATGTTTGAAGTTTTATTTTTAGCGCCTTGGAGGTGCTATGGTACCATGACGTGCAAGCATAGTCATAGTACCCTTAAATGAGTGCTCCTGCCAGAGTCTTCAGGGTGTTTTTGTTTACCATACATGTTGTTTATACCTTTTTTAAACCTTTGCTTTTAAATATTAAGTCACTCTCTGACCCGCTCCGTCACAATCTTATTTAATTAAAAAATTATAAATGTATTATATGTCACAAAACCAATTCTTCCCTCAGGATAAGTATTTAATTATTTATGTATTTATTCTCTCTATTATATTAGTCGTTCTCTTTTATTGAAGTTCCAGGTTGTATTGCCTCCATGTGTTGCTGTAGCTCCACCCCTTGATGGCACTGTTTGTTTCTTGCCCTGGATCTCTATAGAGTTTATTAAAACTACAACCCCCATGATGCATTAGCTGTTATCCCTGATAACAGAGATACACTTGTTGAGACTGTAAAGAGTCAGAGACACTTTTAAAACTCATGCAGAGACAAACTGTCCAAAAATCAGTCTTTTCCTAACCAAGGCGAAAAGACGAGAGGAGCTGATTTTTGGACAATTCGACCGGAAACCAGGGTTTCTTGTTTATCCCCAGCTAACGTGCTAATATGCTAATGGTGACCCTGAAACACAACTTCCGGTGCTGGTCTTCACAATAAAACCCACAGTTTTCTGTCTTCACCTTTCTCTTCTTACAAATATTATATTACGGGAAGAGGGGGAATACATATAATATATGAAATAAACTGGTTTCTCTCCGCAGCTCCACGTCTGTGTATCTTAAAGGTTTAGGTATTGTCTAAGGGGAAATAATAGCCGCTTTTATTTTGAAGTCCTTTGCACCGGAAGTGATGGTCCCGCTCTTTTCTAACTGGGAACCAGCTACATCCATGGTTCTCTCTCGGTGTTCCTGAGGAAGTGTATGTGAGCAGCTGATCCATCCAAAGTCTGTGTGTCTGGATGAACCTTTGACTTTGTGCTCTTTCTTCTGAAGCCTTTAGCTCGGACTCTAGAAGCTAAGTTAGCATGCTAGCTTAGCATGCTAGCAACACAGAGTGAGAGAAACAGGAAGTGGTGATTTAGTAAACATGAGTGTTGTGCTGCTCTCGTTGGTGAAGCAGCGACTCACTGCGGCTGCTGAAGACATCTTTGTTCTGTTTGAAAGAACGATAGCAGAGTACGAGGAGGAACTGTCTCGTTCAAAACAGGAGAACGAGAGACACCGGAAACTACTGGACGCTGTTTTACAGCCTCAGCTTCAGATCCACAGAGCAGGTCTGTTCCCTCTTTATACTCTCTATTATCACTTTAGACACCGCGGTGAAGTTAGTTTAGATATAACTTTATACTTTTTATTAACACTCTCTTTATTCTTCTTCGGTTGGCAACCAACACATGGGTGCGTTACCGCCACCTGCTGGACAGGAGTGTGGAGCAGTAGATTGGCAGGAAAATTAAAATAATCCTAAATTCTTTCTCTAATTCCAGTCGTTTTTAAGAATGTTTTCAGCAGTTTAAAGACTTCCTCTGATGTCCCCAGCAGATTCCCCACAGTAAGGCTGAGTTTTCCGTGAGCTAACTTAGTAGCTAGCACTCTCCTCTCATTTTTGAATTTGTGGCAGTCTGTCTGTTTGACGGTTTCCGGTTTATTGCAATCTGCACAGAGTCCAGTGGGGTGCATGCCAATTATGTGAGTTTCTGGTTTAGTCCTGTGTGTCCTTAACCGCGTAACTACCTTTTCTTCCCGTGGGCTCCTGCTTCGTCTTCGACCCCTACATGTTTCTGGATGCTGTAGAGATGCCTTCCTGTATCGCTGACATCACAGTATTCTTGCCAAGTTTTCCGTAATTGAACATTAATAATGGTTTTAACCTCTGTATTACCTAATGGTGTTTGTATGTCTGTTGACTGTCTTTTTAACGATAGTTTAGCTAATTTGTCTACTTCCTCATTCCTTTCTACCACAAAATGAGCAGGAACTCAAAGGAATTTAAAACTATGGACAGGTGATTATTAATCATTACTTTTTCCCCCAAATCTTTAGCAAAGCTTTTTTTCTGGATTTTGTTTGTTTTGTACAAAATTCAGCTTTAATTTTGTCGATTCGAAATCACTGGCTGGGCTGGATTTCCCCCCACATGCCGTTTATAAGGCGGAGTACTACTTCTATTGTGGTAGGAGCTCTCGACTAACTTTTTTCACCATCCTCCCGGAACCGTCCCGAAATACAATCTAAGCCGTCCCGAAATTAATGTGTACTGTCCCGAATTTAAAATATTAGTTTTTCTACATTATCATTAGGTAAAATCATTCAAAGTGACCTTTAACATAAATAAAACATCATACAAATCATTAGATGATAATTCATCGACCTTTTTATTTGAGTAAATCATTCAATCACATAAACAAAGGCCAAATATATTTAAACAAACGAGAAAGTTACTCTAATATGCTAAATGTTTTGTGTGTGTGTGTTTATGTTGACAAGGAGGTTTAATAACGGTGTGCTACACAAAACGTGCAGTCGGTTTCATTTTCATCGCCGTTTGTAGTAGAGTTAGCAGGGTATTTTTATTTTAACTCTCGTCCCAAAAATTATTTTGTATCCTCCCCGACACTATTTTTTTCAACGACGGGACGTCCTTAAGCTCGAGCCCTGGGTAGGAGTTAAAACTACAAGCCTTACCTCCCCAAATCCTGGTACCTCTGGTAAAAGTTACACAAACTCACCTCTAGCCTCTTTAGTTAGGGAGGATACACAACACACAATACCACGGGGTATCTTTCTTTGGTATTGGTGCAGCAGTCACTCCGAGGCACTGCGTGTGAAACCGTCTTCCACAAGTTTCACTCTGAATCTACATGGGGACAAATACAACAAAGATATGAAGAAAATGTCAAGTGTATGACACTTGTAAGAATGATACATATTTTGTTGTATAAAGACTTGCTGTTATTCAGGTTTATCTGTACTTTGCTAAAACGTTCACAAATGATAAGAAAAACAAAAGGAAACCTGTAATGCATAAAAGTATACAGTATTTCATTACTTTTATGTTATTCCTGAAATCTAACTCCAGATGATCTATATATGATCTATTATTCAGATTATCTTCTGGAGTTTCAAAACAATTCATCATGTCGTCTCACCCAAACAGCATCAACAGCAGTTGTGGGCAGGTCCTCAGTTCCACAGAAGGAACAGAAGTCATCCTTTGAAACTGAACAAATAACAGGTTCAATTTACAGGAAGCCGTCCATATATTCATTTCATATTTTTGGCTAATACCTGATCCGCTGAGAGTTTCTTCTGCCACGTCTCTTCGTAGATGTTGAAGACATTGTTTTGATGAGTTGATGTGAAACGTCCGTGGTATTTTCTGAAATTCCGTCACTGTCATCTTGGCCATCTGGACAGATGGTAAAATAACATGACGTTATGACGTGTGTTTGAATTTCCCATTCAAATAAAAAGCTTTTATTAATGAACACAACATGTTGCATTGAATCACCTGCATGACAAAGGCTCCACAACTGGTGGCATCTTTCTGGAAGGCGTGGGTTATCTTTCCAGGCTGCCATTTGATGTTTACCCAGTCCTCTTTTCCCAGTCTGTTCCGGCGCATCTTGAAATACTCTCTATAGAACAATAGGAAAACTATTTTTACATTTAGATTAGAATCTTTAATGACCACACAGCCAGGCTGGTGCAATTATTTGTGTTCAGTGCAGAGTATTACAGCTTGTTCCATACAATTCAACAGACAATAAAAAGTACAACACACAGCACAGGGCAAATACATACATCATGGCATATATACATAAGTTCAATGTGTGGTGGATTGTTCATTGGGGTTATTTAGAGTCCATTTAGTATCCGTATTGCAAAGGGGAAGAAATGATTTGCTTTGCCCTTGTGACAGTTCGTTGGTGGTGAAGTGATTTGAGTGATGGAAGGGGACTGCAGGTGATTTTTGATGCTTTATTGATGATACGTTGAAGTTTATTCCAGGAGAGGTTGTCTGAACTGCTGTACCAGACTGTGATGGATGATGTGAGGATGCTTTGGATGATGGCTGTGTAGAACTGGATTAGGAGATGTTTCCTCACTCTGTATTTCTTGAGCTGCCGCAGAAAGAATAGCCTTTGGTTGGCTTTTTTGTAGATGTGGTCTGTGTTGGTCTTCCATTTGAGGTTATTGCTTATGTGAGTGCCAAGACATGTGAGTGATTCTGTGGTGGAAATGAGTTTGCCGGAGAGAGATAGAGGTGATTTGGGCTGTGGCTTTCGCCTGAAGTCGATGATTATTTCTTGGGTTTTTGCTGTGTTAAGTAGGAGGTTGTTTTCTGAGCACCAGGTGACTGCTTGATGGATCTGAGTGAGGTATTGTGTTTCATTATTATTTGAGATGAGTCCTGTTATTTTTGTGTCATCTGCGTATTTATATATGTTGACTGTGGGGTGCTGAGATGTGAGTTGGTTTGTGTAGAGTGAGAATAACCAGGGGGATAGGACACAGCCTTGTGGAGCTCCTGTACTGAGATGTGGAGTTGTTTATTTTGACCCGTTGTCTGTTCCAGAGGAAGCTGTGGATCCAGTGACAGATGCAGGGGTCAGTGTTCATGTCCATTAGTTTATTGAAGAGTTTTTCCGGGTTGATGGTGTTGAAAGCGGAGCTGAAGTCCAGGAACAAGATGGGGGCGTAGGTGTTGGGGGATTCCAGGTGTTGTAGAGTGTGATGGATTGCCAGGTTGACAGCGTCATCCACGGATCTGTTGGTTCTGTAAGCAAATTGATATGGATCCATGAGGGGGGAGGTGCTGGTTTTTAGGTGCCTGAGAATGATGCGCTCAAATGATTTCATCGCCACAGATGTGAGGGCTATGGGTCTGTAGTCATTGAGGCAGGATATTTGATTAGAATTGGGAACAGGGATGATAGTGGATTCCTCAAACTTAAACCAAACCTTTTTCAAAACGTTAGCAGCAACACTAATGTATCAGCTTTTCTTCAGAAAACCACAGTTAACTTATAGATTCACATTATTAAAATAACTTCAACTGTTAAACAAGCAATTAAAAGTAATAGTAAAAATAATAAATACCCATTTTAAATGGGTATATTTAAAGACTTAAAGAGCCTGTGACACGAGTTTCCCCCATCATCCAAACCCATCAATTTGAGTAAATATTGTCCCCTTGAAAACCGTTACTGAACTGATTTTGGATATTTGTACTTTGATAACCATTAATCTGCCCTTCAATGTTGACCATTTCCTGGATCTGCTCGGGGATTCTTCAAGTCCCGCCAAATTATGTGTGACGTCATTGCGGGCACAGCGCTCCAGCTGCACCGTTCAGGATCCCAGCATCTGCATGTAAACGCACGATGGCGCACACAGCAGCAAGCTCAAACAGCGATGACAGTTTAATGTTGAACGTGTCTGAGAGCTCATATGAGCCTGAAGGATCGCTTTATGTTGTATCTGTTAGAAGTTTAGGAATTAGGTGCGTCAATATGGGCGATCATACGGTCATGTAGCCAGTGGTGGAATGGGACTAAAAATCATCCCGGGACTCTCGACCGGCCCACTTCGGTACCGCTAGTAAATTGTCAACGTGGGGATGTCAGGGGCGGCGGGTGCTGTAGATAGTAAATGTAAATATGTAAATATTTGTGTCACTGCATCCTGGTAAAATACAAATATAATGTATAATGTCTGTGTCTTTGACATTAGCGCTGCTAGCCACCTGTGCTCTGTGCTACGAAGCCAGTTCAACAGACCCTGGATATGTTTGAGTAACACACAAACTAACAACAACAAACTAACAAACGAGATCTCGCTAAGCGGTCCTACGACGCTGGTTATCAACTCGGGAAATCAAGCCAGGGTTTCTCTCTCCAGCTGAGAGCGCGTTCACGTCTAAGACACGAGTGGATCTGACTTTAATTACATTTGACTCGAGTGTTTCGTCAACATAATGTGTTGCTTAAAATAATACTTCTGCATACAGTATGTGACACTGTGAGTGTTGCACGGCCAGACACGGCTCAGCTGACTCAGATAAGGAAATATATGATATATTATGATATTATATGATCGATGATCTGATTGATGATGTAATATGAATGATAAGTGCGACACGTCGGCGTCTTCTCTGCATACGGCAGTTTAAACTGTATTTCCTTTATCCTGTAATATGACTTGAGAGATTTAAACTCCGCACACTGAGTTGATCTCTTTTCTATAGACGCCGGAGGCGTAACAAAAGTTATTTAGCCTTCCCAAACCTGAGCCTCACGCGCCGCCTATGGGGAATGTGCTATAGTGACTTATCCGACCGGCCCACTTCGGTACCGGCCCATCGGGATTCGTCCCGATGGCCAGTCCGCCACTGCACCCAGCCCACGTAAACTGTCAACGGGGGGAGCCTCGCTGCGGGGAAACGGTGGACCTGGTGTCCCGATCGGAGTGGGAATAATAATAATAATAATCCGTGCATTTTATCCATTAATTTCCCCAACATTGTGGTAAAAAAAACCACACGTTTAATCCATGTTGGTGTACGACTACAAAAAGCATCGGTTTGTTTTCTCATCAGGAAATGCAGACCGGCTCAAACAAACGATTTGTAATCATCATTCTCACGATCATTTAATGTATCATATGTTCGCCGAATTGACATGAAAGCACTAATAAATGTAGTTTCATCCACTTGAGTTTACAACTACAAAAATAATCCATTTGTTTTTATATCACATCCTACGGGAGGAAATTCAGTAGCTCTCACTACCGATTTGTAATCCTAATGTAATCATCATCTTCACCACGATCATTTATGTT